TATATCAGACAAAATAAGTGTAGCACCTTCTCTATCAGACAACTTTTCGATACTCAAATATTTTTAACACAGCAGAAATGGCCTCCCACGCAGTTGCTACACTTTCGACCGTTACTATACACCTAGTCGGGTTTAGAATCATAAAATCTAACGATCTTATAGGGTTTTTGCCGTATTGCTATGAGACATGGTTTTGGTCGTCACCTCTCGTACTATGTATTATGACGTGATCACCCAACGTGTTTGTATCAAGCCTACCTAGTGCGGGAGTAGCGGCCACGCAGCGAACGTGGTCTTAATTTAAAATTTCACCCAAGTTTTATCGGTGTGTTTAGAAACAATTAGGTATGTAGGTACTCAATATTGTGATTGTGAAGTAACAATTTCCGCAAAAGATGGAGTAGTAGAATTTCCTATTCAATGTGAATTAGTAAGTTTGTACATACCTACCTAATTTTAATTATTCAAGTGTTTAAAGCTTAGATAATAATACCTAAGTACCTACGATGTATTTCTCTACAATTTTCTGTTGCATTTTAGTAACGGCCATAGAGGAAGTGCTTATGATCATAACTAGTGAATTATTTACGATACGAACAGAAGGGTGTACCATACCCGGTTTTTCTAAAGTGACTGATAGTATAAAAATGATAGTTGCTGCTCCGCCCCTAACTCGTAACTGTAGTACGCCTGAAAAGCTCGTCAGAGCAAATATATCCCACATCTGGGTGGCGCATGAAGTTATCTATTCTTACAACGTTTTTAGAGAAGACACGTTTTACTGTTGTTATAAAAATTTCTCTTCTTCAACCAACATAGAAAACATAATGTATAGTGAATGCAAAGAATTTTTAAATGTTATAAAAGCGGAACACGAATTTGTGCAAATTGAATGCTATCACCTAGATGAAGTAATTTACACAGATTTTTTCTTATTTGATTTCCATGAAGAGATCAACACCTCGCAAACCGACAGCTCTCTTGACAATAATTCTCACAGTCAAGAACCATTTAATGTCCTTATACTTGGTATTGAAAGCATGTCTCGACTTAATTTTCATCGTACTATGCCTAAGACGACACGTTTTCTAAAGGAAAGAGGTGCTGTAGAGTTACATGGCTATAACAAATTAGGTGACAACTCACTTCCCAATTTATTTCCTCTTCTTTCGGGATTCTCATATAAATATGTAAAGCAAACATGCATCCAAAATAACATATTTAATGTTGATAAATGTGCCCTTATATGGGATAGCTTTAAAGAGAAAGGATTTCACACTGCTTTAGGCTCTGATAGTATAGCTGGCCTATTAGGCAACTACGAATATACTTTGCCAAGGATACCGACTGACTCATATTTACAACCATTTATATTCGAAACTAGAAAGTTATTTAAAAACCAGCAGTACAACTTTCACCCATGCATGGGCTCGAAATATTTTTACAGAATATTGTTAGATTATATTTATGAATTAGCTCAACATTTGATCTTGCATAAATTCTTTGGTATCTTTTGGGAAGAATCGATAAGTCATGAAGACCTTAACAGCCCCCATATCATGGACGATTCCTATGTAAACTTTTTGAGTAAATTACATAAAAATGATTATTTGAATCGAACTGTACTTATAATCCTAAGCGACCATGGCATGAGATGGGGTAAAATAGTTGAAACAGAACAAGGTCGATTGGAAGAACGTTTGCCATTACTGAATGTACTTTTTCCAGAACAGTTTAAACAGCGTTATAAACTAGCTTTTCGTAATATACAACATAATGTTCACCGATTAACTACTCCATATGATATTCATGAAACATTGCTAGACTTGATAAATCTAAATTCACTAGATGATTCCAAAATCAAACAGAGAAGTAGTGCTCCTAGTTCGAACAAATCGAGTCTTTTTGTTCCTATATCTGCCATAAGAAGTTGTTCATCAATTGGTATTGAAGAACATTGGTGTGCATGTCGTCGAGGGGAGAAAATTAAAGTAGGAAACAACATCAAGACAATGGCTGCAACTAATCTCGTCGTGCAAATCAATAAGCTGTTAAAAAAATATCCGCAATGTCATAAACTGACCCTTAGTTACATTTATGACGTGTATTTAGTAGAAAATAATGGGAATTGGCGAATTTACACAGTGATGGTAAAAACTGAGCCTGGAGGAGGAATTCTTGATGGTACTCTTACCCAGGATAAGTCGCGGTGGCTCATCTCTGGCACAGTTAGCCGATTGAATCTTTATCGAAATCAAAGTGACTGCGTTGAAAACGAGGACATTAAACTGTATTGCTATTGTGGCTAATTGTGTTTTTTTATTGATGACTAGCTTATGCTATCGGCTTCGCCTACGTTCCCGTGGGACAAAAAGTAGCCTGTGTGTTATTAGTTTATTACAGACTTCTCTACTGAGATCTACCCCTTTTCCGAATTTTATCCCTTCAGCCGCTTTGACACGAAGGCGTAACAAAGCAAACAAATTTAGACTTTCGCATATATAAAAGTAGGATATAAAATATACCTACCTACATTATCGCATTATTATTATTAATGTGAAAGTTTTTTTCAGCTTCAATGACGGACAGACTGACAAACTTCTATTTTTGGTCCTGTTGAAATAAATGCTTTTACTTTTTTCTTAATGGTCAAAAATTCAAAATAAATGTCAAATGAGCTTGTATAAGTAGGGTACCTGGCTCTCCTTCTGCTCTTCGTTTTGTAGCAGTTCTCAGTCAGCCTCCCCCTTAGCTAGCATAACTGCTTCGCAAAAGGAGGAGACGGCATCGCAGTCCCCCCCGCTCCGCATCATGACCTGCACTAGACCCGGACGCGAGAGGTCGCCATCACCGATCACTTCCCTGAGGGCAGGGCGGTGCTCAGCCCATGCAGGGCATTTGTGGCAGGCCCCCACTGTGTGTTCCACCGTGTCCTCAGGGCGGTCCTCGCAGTGATGACATACGGGCATTTCCTCCCGCCTCATCAGACCTCAGGTACCTCCTGAAGCTTCGTCAGGCGGTAAGTGAGGAGGGTAGGTATGTGTACTACTGTGTATTGTAATATAAGTGATTAGTTTAGTGCCTCCACAAAACAACAATATTCAAAACTGGTTTCACAGGCTCTGGACTGGATAATCCCTATCCACAGAATTTTAAACATAGTAAAATGTTATGTTTGGTTAACTATCTATCAGTTATCAAAGATAATGTTTTTTTACTATACACTTATTATAGTCATGTATGGTTGCCAGCTGGTCAACCTATCGTACCAACGTCCTTGATCCATCGATTAATTTTTTTAAGACTAAAAAGACTTTGTACCAAAGCATCAAAACTAAAACTAATGGATTTCTCTTTGACAAATTGTCAAACGACAAACGTCAGTGTCAATAACTTGTCTTCTCATCCAAACCTGTCAACAATAATCTTATCCCGTTACACATTTTTTCCGAATAGTATTAGAAAATGTATAGTTCGTAAGATTTTTGTGCAATATTATCAATACATGAATAAAAATGGCCCTAACTTATAGGGCCTTATTTAAAAATTATTATTACTTGCAAAATATAACCAAACCGGTAAAATGGAGTGTCGGAGAGAAATATCCAGTAAGAAGTATGGCAATTGGCCCCTGTTATCATAATGAATACAATCCAAGACCCTTGCTTGAGACAAAGGATTTAACAATACAAGCTACAAGCTTAAGACTATATTCCACTCAAGACAAAACTCCATCAGATGGGGAACCAACAAAAGTGAAAGTAGGTCTTATACAAAAATTTAAAGTAATGTACAGGGATTATTGGTATGTGCTAATACCTGTTCATGTGGCTACGTCTATTATTTGGTTTGGAAGTTTTTACTATGTTGTTAGAAGGTATGTACACCTGAAATACCTTGAATTTGTCCCAGATGGAATATCACTTGATTAACTTTTATATCTTTACAGTGGTGTTGATGTGTTAGCTATATTAAAAACATTGGGTGTCAGTGAAACCATAATTGTTCCCCTAAGAGACTCTGCTGCAGGATATTTTGCCCTCGCATTAGCATTGTACAAATTGGCAACACCTTTGCGGTATACTGTAACAGTAGGTAATGTCATATTTTTTACTACTAATAATTTATTCATTATTCATATTATTAAAGCTGTTTGAAAAGGAGAATTTGCATATAAAGGTATTTGCATATTAAAATAACTTCCTTTGTCTCATCATCTAAAATGCAAACAATTTATTTTAATGGTTCTAAGTTTTTCTATAATAAGTAACCCATGAAATATTATTTACATTTTACTGCTTTCTAGGAGGGACAACAGTTGCCATTAAAAAATTAAAAGAATTGGGTTTCATCAAACCAGTCCCTTCACGAGAAAGGATAAAAGAAATTTTTCAAGAAAAGAAAGATACACTCCAAGATCGTTTCAATGAGAGTAAAACCCATTATCAAACGCAAATGAAAGAAAGACGCACTCAAGTCCTGCAGGAAATGAAACGTTATAAAACTGAAATGAGGAATATGAAGAAAAACAAGGTGAAGAAACTGTAAAACTTAAAAATTCCATAAAAATAACTAACTTTAACTAATTAATGCAAGAATGTCATGAAAATGTTATTTAGTAATAATTGACCAACATGAAGTATGAATTGAGAAACTACCATAAAATGGATAAGTACTAGAATATTAATAACTAATTAAAATTATAATGCAGTTATAAATTTTGTAATATTTATTACTTATTTAATTATAAAAATAACTACATAACAAAATCATGTTTATTTCATATAAAATAGCTAGTTACAAATAATAATCACATCATTTTTCATCAAAATGTACATATAAAATGGTTTAACCTAATTATATTAAGTACAAAACAAGACAGCACATTACTGGAATGTTTTATTGCGCCTCTCATCCTAAAATATTTCTAAAATTGTGACCAAAAACAATTATATGCTCATAAACAGTACAGAGCCTATTCTGTTTAACCATTATATATTTAATATTTAGTACTATACACACCAACCAGGAGTGCTGTCCAGTCTAGTGTGTAAAAATAATAAATGCATTTCACATCAATGGCAAATCAACTAGCAGTAGCAGCCATAATACTTGGGGGTTTAACATCTATTTCTAGTACATAGAAATACAGCGTCAAATTCATTAACAATTTAAAACCAATTCCATCATCAGTTTTATCATTTCACATAATAAAAATCAATTCCCATAATCACTGAAGATGTATCAGTTAAAACATTGGATATCACAAATTATAATAGGCAAACTTTCTTGGCTAAAACAAATCACAATTATCATTATTAACTTTATTTATTCTATTTGCTGCTATGAAATACAGTTGCTAATCAAATATATTCATACATTTTACTAACATTTAAAATACCTAAGCAGAATTGTTGTTCTCCTCATTCTATATGCTTATCAATAGATAGGTTTCGATATCGTGACATTTACATAGAATCACATTATCTTGAATTATTATTCTTATAAATATTAACAACACAGTTTTAATGTTTTGCTTGATCCTCATAACTTAAGTTACAGATATTAAAGCTAATTACGATAAATGCTAATAGGTGCAACATTAGCTATACAAAATTATTTTTGAGCACATAATTTGATAATAGAAATATTAGCCTGCCAACTATTTATTCTGTTGTAATATAATTGTTTTAACACTAGACGCAGCCAAAAGAGTGAAGTTCAACCCATGTACTGGTATGAAGCGGGGGAGAGATGAGGCGCTGGCGAGAGGCCTGGTCCCGTCGCCGCTCCGATCGTGGCCAAATGACAAGCGCGACACATTAATTTACCTGAAATAGTTTCATCATCATAATATAATATTTTTATAATCAAAATTATTGTGGAAAAAGATTGTCTAAAAGAAATACAAAATTGAAAATAGCAACAGGAACATATCAAACAGTTTTTTTTTTTCTTTTTCATCATATAACTTTACAAAAAGAACATTTATATTTTGTGCTTGTACATATCTAAGCAATATGCAAATTTTATTACTTTGATATATCAAGTACCTGAACCTCTTCAGAAATTATAATCTATCAACTAATATCTGAAGTAGTTGAATTATTATTAATCAATCTTATAAAATATGAGAATAGTCACCAACTTATTCACATTCCTTCTAATTTCAACTAGATGAAAAAAGGAAATGTAAATGTGCTACACTTACCAGCTAAAGGATAGCAGCGTTTATCAGGTTCATCAGTCAGTTGCATTCCACAAACACAACACATGTAGCAGTCAACATGAAAGTCCCGATCCATTGAGACAACCCGCACTGTTTCATCCGTGCCTTCAACTGGTGTGATACCTATTGCCAAACAAAACAATATTCAGGAGTCAGTATCAAGATGTGATCAATTTACTTGAGCTTTGATAATTTTCCTTACCTTTTCCACAGCTAGCACATTTAGGCGCAAACATGCGATGGTAGTCATTGACACAGTATATCTTGTTGTCAACATCCACGGTGAAGGGCACCCCATCGAGACATTCATTGCAAACACAGCAACGGAAACAACCTGGGTGGTATGATTTGCCCATTGCTTGTAAAATCTGTTGACAATGAGATAAACAGATTGTTTAGGTTAACTAGGTCAAGGCATAAAACAAGACTAAACTGTTAATTCAAGCAAAATTATACTTTACCATTTCCATTATCAAGTGACCACATATTGCACACTTCTCAGCAGTTTGTTGGAATCCAGAGTACTGTAACAGTTGATAATATAAATTTAATTACTTAAAAAATGATAATAAATAAGAATTATAGATATACTAAGTACACACCAAATAGTCTTCTTCACAGTAAACCTTCCCATGTACATTGTAGAAAGCCTTTCCTCGTAATGCACGGCCACATGAGCAACAGATGAAACAATTTGTATGATAGAGATTGCCCATGGCTTGGCAAGCCTGGCCTGCCCCTGTGACTCCAGCACCACATGTATGACAAATACCTACACAACAATCCAATTACACATTAGTCATTTTACTTGTTCATTATGAACAAGGAACAAGATGAATCTATTAAGTTATTTGATAACCCAAACATAAGGTTACAGTAATTGTTTATAACAGCTCCTTTTAACTCGTTGAGTACCGTCATTATAGACACAATTGTAGAACAATAGGTTGCGGTCACCAGTGACCGCTCGGTGTTTGACAGTTTAAACTACATAATAAGATTGTCATTTAGTAAACTTTCTTACCAAAGTATTCACCCTCCTCATCTTGCCTCTCCATTTCTTCTTCAAGTTGTCTAGTGAGTTCTTCTATTTTACGTTGTGCCTCACTGGGGCCTGGAGGACGAGGTGGTGTGATGCTGTAAGGCAACAAACTTTTGCCCCTACCACCAGAGCCTCGAGAACCACCTGACACTTGAGAGACTGAGCTTGGAGTTGGACTGGGTGCAGGGGATTGAGCCGGGGAACACAGAGATGTAAGACCTGATACCAAATTCCTAGAAGTAATAGACTCTGAGGCAATGGAGACATTGTCCCTGTTAGCTGCTGCCACTGCTACTGCAGGAGAGCCACCAGTCATACACACATAGTCTGAACCATTTGTGTCTTCCACTATCTGCATTCTACCACCAACTGTTGGCTTGGCATTATAGCCTCCATTGATTAAAGGTTTCTCTTTTCCAATACTATTGCCAATATTTGGCTTAGGATGAAAGAATTTGGGACTTGCTGTTGCAGTTTGTACTTCAGTAGCAATATTAGCCTTAGGTCTTTGTGCACTTGGTGCTATAGATGCATATATTGCTGTAGATGGTATGGTCACAACTTTATCATCAAAACTAATAGAATTATCACTCTTGAGCAGTGCACTCACGTCAGTGTACTTGGGAGGGGCAGACTTCATTACTGTGTAGTCACTTCCTGGATTATCTTGAGATGTATTGTATGGAGGAGGTGGTGGAGCTTTATCTATTTTTACTTTGTCACTTGATAACATTTGTGCCATATTCCTAGTAGCTCCAGTGTTGGGTACTTGTGGTCCAGGAACTGATCCCTGCTGTATAAAACGCTGGTCATGGTTTGGTTGGGGTTTAAACTCGCTTTTCTTATCAGTATCAGAACACAACATGTTTTCATACACTAGTGGGTTAGGTTTAGTAGTCTTGGAGTTAACTGGCACTTGAGGTTGAGCTTTACTATAACGTGTATCGTAGTATCCGTCAGACACTGGCGGCGGCGGCGCCTGCCCGTACAACTGATGATAGTACGGAGGTTGAGGTGATCGCTGCTCACCGTAATAATCTATGTTTTCATAAACTGGTGGCGGGTATTGAGCATTTGGAATCGCCGGGATCTCGTACAAGTCATCAGTTTGATAACTGAGTGATCTTTGTGATATAGAATCTATGGAACGTGTCGGACTGGAAGGCAGAGCTGCAGTGTTTATATCGCGTTTATTGATCGACGCAATAGTTTCAACTCGTTTAGGCGTAGCAAACTTTGAAGCAGCTATGACGTTCGACCTCTCGTAAAAGCTGTAATCTTGACGATTGTTTTGGCTATTATCCAATACAAAGCTCTCTATTGCTCCCACAGGTCGGGTTTTGGCCAGAGAACTTGTGTTCGATGTTACGGCGCCGTGCGCTTGCTCAGTTACATCTTCAACTTTATTGGAGAGTTTTAAATCTTGAAGGCCCATTATACATCGTTGTTCATCTGTGTTACTCCTACGTGATGAATCCATAGTATTAAATTAATGCAATAATAAAATTAAAAATAAAACTTTAGTTTCAATATGAATCTGAATGAATCATCTCAATCTCAAAATCTCAAATTGAAGAATAAATTGAAGTCTCAAACAAAACATCCACTACCACTAGTGAAGGATCAAGAGAAGAACGATCGATCCAGTTTCCAGATCTATAGTGAATTATCGATCAATTGAATCGATTTTTTTTGCTTCCGATTTTTTACTGAAAGAAGCTTTTAAAAAATAATCCATACTGTGTTGTATCTAACTTTGATTATTTCATAAAATTAAACGTAGTAAAATCAATGAGTAATGTCATGAATCTTATCAGATCAGTGTATAGACCCAATGTTCAGTTTTGTAAAATTATCTTATTAGTCGATTGACACTGCTCATTCGATTACTTTTGTTTACAACATTGTTCTATATCATAGATCAAAATAGAATGATTGGTGATATTTATTAGTCTGTGCCGTGGTAGTGTATAATCTATGCGTAAAGATCAAAGACAAAAGACAACACTCATTCAGCGACGAGTTTGGGCAAGTCGAGTTGAAGTGCTTGGATTCATTTGACTTAGTGTTTTATGTTATAATTGGTAATAATCTTATCGAGGAGAACTTTTAGTTCTCCTTTTAATTATGTACGAAACAGAAGATGATCAGTATGAAGAAATTGACGTGGAGGAAATATCATCGGAGCTTTGGCAAGAAGCTTGTTGGATCGTCATCAACGCTTATTTTGATGAAAAAGGTTTGGTACGCCAACAATTAGACAGTTTTGATGAATTCATTCAAATGTCAGTCCAGCGTATCGTAGAAGATTCACCACCTATAGAATTACAAGCTGAAGCTCAGCATTCATCGGGTGAAATTGAAACTCCACCAAAATATCTTCTAAAATTCGATCAAATCTACTTATCAAAGCCTACACACTGGGAAAAAGACGGTGCTCCCTCACCTATGATGCCTAATGAAGCTCGGCTGCGAAACTTGACTTATTCTGCTCCACTGTATGTGGATATAACCAAAACAATTGTAAAGGAACATGAAGACCCTATTGAAACCCAGCATCAAAAAACATTTATTGGCAAAATTCCGATTATGCTTCGGTCTACCTATTGTCTTCTGAATAACTTAACAGACAGAGACTTGTCTGAATTAAATGAATGTCCACTTGACCCTGGTGGTTACTTTATTATCAATGGTTCTGAAAAAGTACTAATTGCCCAGGAAAAGATGGCAACAAATACTGTATATGTATTCAGTATGAAAGATGGTAAATTTGCTTATAAAACAGAGATCCGATCATGCCTAGAGCACAGTTCCAGGCCCACTTCTACTTTATGGGTTAACATGATGGCTCGTGGTGGCCAAAATATAAAAAAATCTGCAATTGGACAAAGAATAATTGCGATTGTTCCATATATCAAACAAGAAATTCCTATAATGATTGTATTCAGAGCTCTCGGTTTTGTTGCTGATAGAGATATATTGGAGCACATTATCTATGACTTTGATGACCCTGAAATGATGGAAATGGTCAAACCTTCCTTAGATGAAGCTTTTGTAATTCAGGAACAAAATGTGGCTCTTAATTTCATTGGTGCCCGTGGTGCTCGCCCAGGTGTTACTAAAGAAAAGCGTATCAAATATGCAAGAGAAATTCTACAAAAAGAAATGTTACCTCATGTTGGGGTGTCAGATTTCTGTGAAACTAAAAAAGCTTATTTTCTGGGCTATATGGTACATCGTTTGTTGCTTGCTGCATTAGGACGTCGTGAGCTAGATGACAGAGATCATTATGGCAACAAGCGTTTAGATTTAGCCGGGCCTTTACTTGCATTTTTGTTTAGAGGTCTATTTAAAAATCTGTTAAAAGAAGTAAGAATGTATGCCCAGAAATTCATCGACAGAGGAAAGGACTTTAATTTGGAATTGGCTATTAAAACAAAAATTATAACTGATGGGTTAAGATATTCCCTTGCTACTGGAAATTGGGGCGACCAAAAGAAGGCCCATCAAGCTAGAGCTGGAGTATCACAAGTATTGAATAGGTTAACCTTTGCTTCGACATTATCACATTTGCGACGTGTGAACTCTCCAATTGGTCGAGATGGTAAGCTAGCCAAACCTCGTCAATTACATAACACTTTATGGGGTATGATATGTCCTGCCGAAACACCTGAAGGTGCTGCTGTAGGTTTAGTGAAAAATCTAGCCTTAATGGCTTATATTTCGGTAGGCAGTCAGCCATCTCCCATTCTTGAGTTCTTGGAAGAGTGGTCTATGGAAAATTTGGAGGAAATTGCACCTTCAGCTATAGCTGATGCCACAAAAATATTTGTAAATGGTTGTTGGGTTGGTATTCACAGAGACCCAGAGCAATTAATGGCTACTTTAAGAAAACTAAGACGTCAAATGGATATTATTGTTTCTGAAGTGAGCATGATTCGTGACATTAGAGACAGAGAAATAAGAATTTACACAGACGCCGGCAGAATATGTCGCCCTTTGTTAATTGTCGAAAATGGAGCTTTGCTATTAAAGAAGAAACACATTGATGATCTTAAGGAACGTGATTTTAATAACTATGGGTGGCAAAATTTAGTAGCGAGTGGTGTTGTTGAATACATAGACACCTTGGAGGAAGAGACTGTAATGATCGCAATGAGCCCTGATGATTTAGCTCAAGTAAAGGAATATGCATACTGTACTACATATACTCACTGTGAAATTCATCCTGCTATGATACTGGGTGTGTGTGCGTCAATCATACCATTCCCTGATCACAACCAGAGCCCTAGGAATACCTACCAAAGTGCTATGGGTAAGCAAGCTATGGGTGTTTACATTACTAACTTCCATGTAAGAATGGACACTCTGGCTCATGTGTTATATTACCCACACAAGCCATTGGTTACTACAAGATCCATGGAATATCTGCGGTTTAGAGAATTGCCTGCAGGCATTAATTCGATCGTAGCAATTTTGTGCTATACAGGCTACAATCAAGAAGATAGTGTTATTCTGAACGCATCGGCTGTAGAAAGAGGATTCTTCCGGTCCGTATTTTACAGATCTTATAAGGATTCGGAATCTAAAAGGATTGGTGACCAAGAGGAACAGTTTGAAAAACCTACTCGACAAACATGTCAAGGCATGAGAAACGCTTTGTACGACAAATTAGATGATGATGGCATTATTGCGCCGGGTATAAGAGTATCTGGTGATGACGTAGTTATTGGGAAAACAATCACACTACCTGAAAATGATGATGAATTAGAAGGTACAACAAAACGTTACACAAAACGTGATGCATCAACATTTCTCCGTAATAGTGAAACTGGTATTGTCGACCAGGTGATGTTGACGCTAAATAGCGAAGGTTACAAATTCTGCAAAATTCGTGTCAGATCAGTGCGTATTCCTCAAATCGGGGACAAGTTTGCTTCCCGCCATGGTCAAAAAGGAACTTGTGGAATTCAGTACAGGCAAGAAGATATGCCATTTACTTGCGAGGGTATAACTCCTGATATTATTATTAATCCACACGCTATCCCATCTCGTATGACAATTGGCCATTTAATTGAATGCATCCAGGGCAAAGTATCTTCTAACAAAGGAGAAATTGGTGATGCAACACCATTCAATGATGCTGTAAATGTGCAGAAAATATCTTCGCTACTGCAAGAGTATGGCTATCATCTGCGTGGTAATGAAGTTATGTATAACGGACATACAGGACGAAAGATAAATGCCCAAGTATTTTTGGGTCCCACATATTATCAACGTCTGAAACACATGGTGGATGACAAAATCCATTCAAGAGCTCGAGGACCTGTGCAGATTTTAGTTAGGCAACCTATGGAGGGCAGAGCTAGAGATGGTGGATTACGTTTCGGAGAAATGGAACGGGATTGTCAAATTGCTCATGGCGCCGCACAATTCCTACGTGAACGTCTTTTTGAAGTGTCTGATCCTTATCGTATACACGTTTGCAACTTCTGTGGTCTTATTGCGATTGCAAACTTGAGAAATAATACTTTTGAATGTAAAGGATGTAAGAATAAGACCCAAATATCGCAAATAAGACTGCCATATGCTGCGAAGTTATTGTTCCAAGAACTGATGTCTATGAATATTGCGCCAAGATTGATGGTTGTAAATTAAGTATAAAATACCTATTTCATTTCAATAAAACGGTTTTATTATTGAAAACTTTCTTTTTGATGTTTTTAATATGTATTGTATTAATTCTAATAATAAAATACTTACAATATTTCATTGACTTTTATTATCACAAATCGACAACATTAAATGCAGCTTAAACACAACAACCATAATACAAAAGTGTACAATATGTATAATTCACTTACACATTTAATTTAATTAAGTAATATCAAATGCAATGATTTGTAAATAGAGGTAAAACTTGATGTTGCTTTTTAAACCAATCATATAAATCGTAATTTATATACCATCATTTGTGCAGTCAAACATTATAATGGTTATAATAAATAACTAAAACCATTCCAAACATATATAAACATTTTCAATTTATCAGTACAAAATGACTTACTGGTAACTTTCTTATAATAGTAATTTCTAATAGACTCAACATTATTTAAAACATTTATACATAAACATCTGCAAAAACAAAGCGAATAACTAGAATTCTAAACAGCAAATAAAACAATATTTGCAATCAAGAATCCGCATTATAAAGAGTTAAAAAACTACAGTAAAACTTTCAATATTAAATAAGAGAGCGAGTGATTAACATTAAGATGGAAGTAATTATTTAAGTACATACTTCAACAGCCAGTTTTGTCATGTATATCTTTCTTTATACATGATATCGTGAAAAATTGCAAAATATTGACTCTGGTTAGCATGTCCCATTGAATTTTTTTATTCGATCTTATAAATATAACTATGTATTAAAGACGCAATAAGTAATTTTGCTTTATTTTATGTGAATGTTGATTTGCCTAGGCTCAATTTAATTAGTAAGGTAGGAACATTAAAAGATTTAGCAATTTTCAGAACCTTGCCGAATTGAATTATGAAAATATGCACCATGATTATTCTTAGATTAAAACTATTTTACTGTACAACTTACGTATCTAAAATCGATGTATTGGGTGCACATCGTATTTAATATACATATTCATAAATAATAACAATATGGACGATTAAGAAATTGAAAAATAACAAAAAACAATATATACTTGTACTTTCACGTAGTGGAAATATGATTTGTAAAATAGGATTCATTTATTTAACGTCGAGTACCTGGATAAAAGTTCATTGGCATAAAGTTATAAAATATAAAACTACTTACAAAAACTATTACACATCTACTAGATAGCCCACAAGCTATCTTTATTTATTAATGACAATTTGAATCTTGGAGTAACCTTAGATTTAAATAAATAAAGTTTTAGACTACAGTAGACCTTACGTCTTATGACATTTATCTGTAAAACTAAATGTAGAGTTACTTAGTTCAGCGAGATGGTGGCAGCGCTGGCTGTTCCATATTTTCCTCATCTTTAGGTCGACTCCATTTTATCATAGTTTCAGGGGACCGGTAGAGGAATACTAATTTAGCAAACAGATCTTCTTCCAATGCGAGCTCGAGTGCTTCACGTACCTAAAGATAATAAACATGTTAGATTTTTATCTCTAAAAGCTAAACGAGCCTAAGCCTAACCCTCGCCTTACTGCTAACTTCTATTCAGATTCAGAATTAATTTTATGCAAAAACGGAGTAAGCTAAATAAAACCGTTTAAAATGTATTGCTTATGCGTGACTAGTCGTAGCCTAAACTTGTATAATCAAGAGTTAGTCTAACTTCTCAGAAATATTTAACTATACAGGGTCCACAATGAGTACTTACCAAATAAATGTCAAGACACAGTTGCAGTACTCTGTCAGCGTTTGGTAGATCGTCGAACATGATCCTCGTGTAAATTCCTGAGAAGAATCCTCGCAGGACTCGAGACGCCAAGAACACGAACGTCGTGTATAATCCAATGATACTAAAATAAATATTAATGTCATTTTGGGCCATAACTTCATTAACAGAATGAAGTTATATGAAGTTAAATGCTTATGAAGATGAATACTCACCCACTGCCTGATATAAAGTTTAATGTCTCGGGGAACAACTTATCGTTAAAAGTGTACATGACCAGCATGTCGCAGTTATTTAGTGGGACCGACAGCAAAGGATCCTGAAAATCAAAATCAGTTATTTGCAATGAGTCTTGAAGTACCAAGTCACAACGTTATGGTTTTCAATCTATAGTCTAAGACACGAATACTGTCCCATCTAGTTTTTTCTACTCCATGGTCCCATCCCATATACATAGGTACGGTAGAAAGTATGTTGATTTAACTTACCCGCATGGAACAAGATTCTCGAACGCGCCAGTACATCACATCCTTCTCTAAATCTCTCTCCAGCCGAAGAAGCACATCACGGTAGACGATGGCTTCCTCACCTGCAATAATACATCATTCACCATGAATCATCAATTACAAGACATCAGACTGCCTAGTCACAAGTGAAAATAGTATGCACGAAGGAACTATTCGTTTTTTTTACTATCGAGCTATCGGTCGCCAATGCCTAACGCGCTGGGCATTAGCGAATGTTGACTTTGTAGGTACCTTAAAAATGTAGATGAAAGCAATCAAGATATTAAATGTCATACCCACTTATTATAATGGTGAACACCATTTTATATTATTATTAGTAATTCAGAGTATAAAGTTGTGTTACCGTATTCGGTGTCTATATTATCATCTTCTTCTATTTGTGTCGGCATTAGTTGGTATGCCGGTTTGGTGGTGCCCTTATTGAACACCTTCAAAAACTTCGGGAACAAGTACTTCACGGTTAACCTGATTAAATTATAATAAATATTATAAAAGGAAAAAGTATTAAATTCGTTGTAATTCGCTAGGAACTGTTATTAGCAGATAATTAGTACCTTTAATATTAACTTTCATTAGGAATTAAAACAGGTATACAAGACTGTCAGTTCGACAACGTTTCAGTATTTACAAGGCCTTTATAAGTACACAATAACATGAAATAACCTGAATATGAAATAATATTAACAATCTACAAAAATAAACTCAAAATAAAAAACCAGTATTAAAAGAATAAAAGATCTCACCAGGTATCAGGGTCGGTAGTGCCGTCGAGCAGTTTCCGTAGAGTTTCTCTCTGTGGGTTGGGCTGCCCGTCCACGTGGGCATGGATGGGAACCTCGCGGTGATCCTCTATAGTCGGCGGGTTCGGCACCGCATTCGTTGGATGCGTTATCACGTACGTAAACTTCACCATTAATGTTGCATCTGTGAAGTTTCAGTGTTCATTATCTTAAAGTTTGTGACAGAATATTAACTTTATTCATGTTATAAGTCTGTGTAATATTAGAAGGTTATTGGTAAGAATATAAAATAAAGGTGAGTCTCAAAGTAATCATCCCTAGTCCCTAGTAGCAATTTGAGAGAAATAAGCCCCACTACCACCATTTCTTATGGCCTCTCTGTCACACGGGGTTGGCTTTTTTAATCACAACGACGCTCCAGTTATGCGTTTCAAACTCAAACTCAAAAGCATTTATTTCAATTAAACCATAATTTGGTACTTTTGAAACGTCAACAAATATGAAATATATAATAGTCTATCAGTCTGTCCGTCAGTGAAGCTAGGCGCTTGTTCCAAGATGTCGATTCGAGTGGAGAAGAACGAGCATGAAACTCCATTCGTTACTCTTTTAAAAAAAAGTCTGTTTTACATTGCTCTGATACATATTCCAATGTTGTACACACATGTGAGAATAATGTAAAGACAGGCGTTATCAAGACAGGCGATAACCCAAGAATTACACTATCACTAATCTATTAAAGTATACCTTATAAACAAACGTATAACAAATTTAAGTAAATAAATTTTAATAAATTTCTGAGTAAAACAGTAAATAATAAAAGAAGTGTTATTGTTGACTGACTAGAGGCCGCCTCTCGCTTGAGTCGGTCGAGCTCTGGCGGCGAGATCTCCCACTTGAGCGTGGAGTTGGGGTTGATGGTGATGACGGCGACGTCGTTGTACATGTAGTTGGACAGGAACGTCTGCGCCGTGCGGTCGCGCGCGTACATGTTGCTCAACTGAGTGTAGTCCTGCTCCGTGAACCTGGAACATAAAGTGTTGTACTAAGAATCTCTTCTATATTTCATCGTATTTTTTTAAAACTTTGCCCCACACTATGGTTTTATGGTGTCGTGGGTGCGTTTACAAACATATAATTTTACATCCTACACATGACACCCAGACCCAAAATTTGTTGATCACACACACGTTTTACTGGCAGTCTCGGTGGCCATCCACCGCACCAACCGTACAGCCGAAACGTCATTAAACCGCAACAATTTATGTACCAAAGAAATCAATGCAGTGAAATGCCCAATTCTCAACTTAGCAAATGATTTAAACAATATTACTCAAAGAAAATCGTATTCGCCTCGTTGGCCCAGTGGTCACAAGTGTGACTGCCAGGAAAGGGGTCTCGGTTTCGATTCCCAGGTCGGGCAAAGTATAACTGAGTTTTAAAAAAATCTCAGTAGTAACACGGAGTCTGGAAATGTGCCCGGTATATGGCAATAGGCTCACCCCCAGTTACATGAGGCTCATAACATAAAATAGTGAAAAGTGGGTGTCACATTGTACAGTGGCATTAAATGCCGTAATGTACACCTCTGCCTACCCCTGCGAGGATAAAAGGCGTGAAGTTATGTTATGTGTAAAATCGCATCATGACGTTGATGTGTTTTAACAGCGGTTTTAATTCGTAGTCCGTGAACGTCTTGACGTCTTGTGGTTAATATAACAGTGGTAATTACAAAATATGATGTTAATAAAGATATAATACTTACACATCGATGTTGTGCGATTGCGCAGACATTTGGTATACAGGAAGGAACGGACCGATGCGGATTTTTACTGTCACGTCTGTGGGCGGGTTTGGTTCTCCGACCTGAAACCCAACCCAAAAAATATTCCAACTTTATTTACACAAGTAAAAAAGCTTGGTTTCAACAATCAAAGTTCAATTTAATACGCAAAATCTCTTTTTATTATTAATTATGTTATTTGCGACTTAGGATGTTTATTTATTATTTATATTTTTTGTCTACTAACTTATTTTAAGCAGCTAAAACAATACGAAAGTAAATTTAAATTATATTTAATATGAACGTGCATTTCGAGTCAAAAGGGTATTTAATACAAAAATGTAAAAGATAATAAATTACCGTATTTCCAAAGGCGAAAAATACGAGTGGGAACCATATGATGGCAATGACGAAGGCTAGTACTCCTCCGCCTAGTATGTATTTCGAGGTGTTGGCTTTCTTAACGCCGCGTGGTTGCGGGAACTCGTCCTCTAAGTACCGGGAACACTGGAAATAAAACAATTAGCATTCTAAAACAGTGTATTTTTGTTGTAAATGTATCAAACTTATTTTAGAATCATTTAGTAGGTACATCTATCTATATAAATCAAAATGAATTTCCGTTCGTTGGTCTCGCTAACACTTGAGAACGGCTGAACCGATTTGGCTAGTTTTAAAATGTTCGTGGTGGATGTTCAGGGAAGGTTAAAAAAGTGAGAAAAGTTTTTTAGGCGGTACAAAGTTCACGGGATCAGCTAGTATTTATATAATAATGTCTTACAAACAAACATAAGCGTCTTACTTTATTACACAATAATGATTTTTTCACGATCTTCATTAAGCCCTCGATCTAATTAAAGATTAAAATGCTGTACACACTATAAATACCTTTAAGAGGAAGACACTGGCGAAGATATCTTCCATTTTGAGCCAATCCATGAGATTCATAGACGTGTCCGTCCATATCCAGTCCATGAGAGTCCGCAGCTCGAATAAAAATGGCACCGTCATGAATCTGTGTGTGTGTGAAGTTGAAATTATAATTACTAAGATATTATTTAATAATCTTCTATTTGTGTATTTTGATTGCCTCTTTCTTAGAGTAGAGAGTAGTGTGATATTGTAGATGTCAAATCAATTCTCGCACTACGCAAAATATTCAGCTTTTCAATCTTTTAATTTTGCATATTTTTAGCAATAACGATGACTGAAAGTATGCTTAGTATTTAGTAATAGACTCGTATTACAACGCGGTTATAAATTTCGTGATAAATAAACTTCTATGTATTAGGTTTACGTAAACTCACCCTCTAAAGAACATCATGTTGAGGAAGTGGTACGACTTGCAGAGGAAGTTCCCGATGATACGGCGCGGGTACCCGCAGCGGATCTGGTACGCGGACAGCAACAAGTAGATACACTTCAACATGTACCACATCGGGGGCGGGAGCAGGGCGTTGAATGTTCTACGGAAAAATACATATCTTATGGACGACGACACGACACAGGAGATAATCCTAGTGTGGGGCAACGTGTTTCTTAAAAAAAAAAAATTCAACAAAACGCATTTTGTCAAAACACTCAAAAAGCAAGTTCGATAAGGTTTGCTGTAATAAACATACACACATAACGTAAACAATTATTTGAATAGCGCTTAATTATTGGCTTACCGTTCAGTAATAAAAGGTAGAACGAAGAACATCCAGATATGGACTCCTATAATGAGCGCATACTGGAACAATATCTTGCCGAGCATGAACTTGCGCAAGTATAGCGCACGGTCTATGACTATTAGCGCAAACTGCAAGATTAACATCACGAGGAAGGGAATCGGTACTTTATTCTCTTCCAAGTACGTTTGCACTCCGCCATCACCTTGGTGCGTCTGGGGAATGAAGAAATCATATCCGAAGTTGTGATTTACCATATTAAACAGAATTATCTAAAGCTACTTGTATGAGGAAATTATTAAGTTACGTGCAAGTGTTACATTACATTGTGTTCATTATTTATCGATAATACTTATAGACTTCAATCCACAATGCGGTTTCAGCGGTCGCACCATGTGAAATTCCTTAGTAATTCTGAAAAGGCCGATAAATTTGATACTTACTCCAAACGCAGCGAATCCAAATATGACGACAAGGAAGTTGAAGAAGTCACAAAGGAACATGTAGGCGTATATATCGGCGGTGACGCGCGCGCCCGGCGCTAACATGCGCTGGAAGAATCGATGCACCGGGCGGAGGTAGCGCTTTACTCTGGAACAAGATAAGTAGAATACACTCAAATACATATAATCACATGAACACAGCGAAGGGTTAGGTAAAGATGCACTTAAACAATGTAATTCCACTTTAAGGACCAGTAAATGTCTATTTTAGGCGGATTTGAAATAAGCATCAGATTTAAATCAGTTTACAATGGTATATCGAACTTATTGCTATATGATTTAAGTTCAAAATACTTACGATAACAGCATCACTTCTGGGTAATGCTTGTATGTGTTCTCCAATGTCGTCGACACTGCAATTATCGGTTCTTGATCGTCGTTCACTCTAAAAATATCATAAAAAACCTTTAGAATAATAAGTATAACATAAAAACAGCTGTTTTTAGTATCGCATACATTTATTTATTATCTATTACATACTAGTATTATAAGTAAAATTATTATTTAGGTCGCTTTAAAAATGGGTAAATGATGTAACGAGGGAGCTATAGGCTAAATTTGAATAAATGATTCTAAAGAAGTGACACACGTGTGACATCCCGGGAAGTATGTACCTACGTACGTTAAGTAAGAAATTAAAGTACATACTTGTAATGATCATCTTCTGTGGATTTCGAAGGTCCTGCTTCATTTTCATCAAATTCAGAGCTATGCGCTTGACCTCCACTACCAAAGTTTTCTGCACGCCTCTCATCTGACTCGCCAGGCCTGTGTTATAATCATAATAATAAAAAAATATTCTTAAAAACAAACTTTTATGGAGGTTGGTATTTATGGTCAAACTAAAGGAGTATTCAAATTTCAGCTCAATCGGTTGAAGATGTTCGCTTCATTTAGTTGCAAGATTCCACTTCACACGTCCATACATACATACATACATTGCAAATTAACTATAAAGCTTGTTATAAAAAGGAGTCACGCAATTTGAATTTTACATATCAATGTAAAATTTAAATAAATAAGTTCTGAAAAGAGACCGTACAATCTTTTTACACCTTACAAACAGTTTTAACTTTAACAATGACTAAACATTACTATTTAACAATACTTATGTTTAACTGCTTCTATAGAAATAAATACATTTGAGAACGAATACATAATTACATACATTTACATCCTAATCGATTTAAATACATTTCGAAAAGATACAATAAGAGATGCGACACTATATAATTACAGATCTATTGTATGATGAACTCTAAACGAATTTAATACTACACACAAAATACAATACGAGGGCTGATTTTTCAACAGACAATTTTTACAAGACGTAAGATTGCTAAGTTAGATCAGTTTTACAGTAACATAAGTGATCGATATTTCCACGTAGTACTGTAACCCTACGAAGGAGTCGAGGCGGTACCCGGGCGTCGGCTGGTCGGGCTGGTCGGGCGCGGCGGGCGGCGTGCGCGCGCCGTGCGTGGGCGTGGCGGGCATGGAGTCGCGCGCGTGTCGCAGTCGTCGGCGGCGGCGCGAGCGCTGGCGCCGCCGCGTGCGCAGGCGCTGCCACACGAGCTGCGCCACGCGCGGGTCGGAGCGCGACGCGTGCAGCTCGATCATGGCGGCCGTGATGGTGGCCTGCACGTGGTACAGGCGGTCCACCAGCCGGTGACGACTGTCTGATCCGCACACCCCGCTATGTACTATCCGCACCACAATACATACGCTACTGCCTGCTTACTTTTTTCGACATTTCGTCACCATGTCGCCTACTTCCCATTACTACCTACTTATTGTTTGTTTTCGAGGGAAAACCTTCAATAGATACATTGCTTTTGGGGAGACTGACTAGGGAATGTAGGATATCTATTTGTTGATCTGTTTCAATGTGCCTCTCTGTTTAGAATTACAACAGCGTATATTGAAATAGACCTAGCTTTACACATCACTATGGAAAGATGTCAAATAAGACAAAATATCGGAAGAAATAAATATTGTTATAAAAGGAAACTCACGGTCCTATCTGGTCGTGCAACTTCACATATTTGCGGCCTACTTCCGTAATATGACCCTCGGCGACCAACTGCGTATCTTCAGCATTTAGCGGGTATTCCATATCTTCTCTCAATTCAATTTCTGGCGAAGATTCCTTCCATAGCCCGAGTGATTTCAACATGAACCTGAAATAAAAGAAACTTTACATTGTAAAACTTTGAACGCGCTTGCGATCAGAAACAGTGTCTTTATGACAGTAAAATAAGGTGTGGTACACTGTGAAAACTGTTGACCACAATACACAAGTATTATATTATTGTGGTTATTGGTAGTAGAGGAATTCTGAATATTTTGACATTACAGTACAAAAGCATTACAAAATATACAATCAAAATAAAACTTTTGGTTTTAGACTAATAGTAATTACCTATGTAAGAAGATAATGAGCAGTAATAGTAGATCATAAAGTGCGTAGTTGAATTTCCTCTCGATACCAATGATCCGTGGCGCAGTGAACGGCATGTCTGCCGGTATCACCTTCTGATTCCACGGGAGAATCTCGAATTGGAACATACTCTTTATCAGTACTATGACCTGTGAAGAAATTATAAAGAAGTTTAGACAAATGATTGCAGAAAGATGTAATTTGTTGGAAAAAGTATATCTCTAACACATTCACAGAATCGCTTAAGACTTAACTTCTTAATAGTCGTTTAGTTAAACTTACCTCGGTGTAAGCGATCAGAGTAACCCAGAATGTCTTGGTAGGTCGCGGTATGGTGAGCGTGCCCCACATGAACACCATCAAGGGAAGCGGTATGGACAATATTGTCGCCGATTGTATCTAAAATGTGTACAAATAGAGAATAAAAAAGATTTTGCACCAATATTTTTGGTTGCGAATACGAAACATACATAACATCTAAGAAGTCTGTCATTCCCAGTAGAAGTACATGAGGTGCATAGCTCATGGCTAAGACAAATTTATCAAGAATTACGTTGAGTGTGTAATAAAGAGCGGGTTCGTTGCAAATTGTCATATGCTGGATCATTCCACTGTCCAGATTACTAAAGAAGTTTTTTCGTAAAACGAATTGACGCTACATTATTCACGGAAGAGGTCGCGTCCAATCGAATAGTCTAGTAAACTGAAAAAAAAAAAATGTTTTTTAATTTTACCTGATTAATAAACACCATGATATAGCATACTATATCTGTATGCGCCAATACTGCGTACCACAGCGCATAGCCGAGGTGTACGAACGGGGACCGATCCTGCTTGAACATCGAGTCATCTTGCTCCTCCAGAGTTGTGACGTCATGGCTGAAATATAGTGTTCCCTTTACATTTTTATATAGGAATAGAGAAATAAACAAGACTTGTAGGGTACTGTACATTAAACGTGGAAGGGTAGAACGGATTTGTCTAAAAGTCAAGTCTTAAGTAAAATTTTGTAGATACTAAACTTTTAGGTACCTACTTTAGAGCGATACCGCGTTCGACGTTCTAATTGACCTGCTCCAATGAAACCACCAATATGACTGCCGAACGCGGTCTCGTTTCGATCTCGTTAAACGTAAAATAAACTCGATACTGAGCCTTTTGTTCGAAACAATTAAAGTTTATTCACGCAATTTGTTGTTAGTTAAATGCTATAGTTAAGTAAGTAAAAAAGTTATGAACCGTATAAAGAACGATAAACTTAAGACATGTTTTAACTTTGCGAGACTGCCCCGTCTACTAATAATATGGTTTTAGATTAGGGTGAGTTGCGAACATTCAATAGGAGTGATTATGCAGAGATTTTGATTAAAGTAAACCTTATTATTAAAAAAAAATGTAACCTTGAAGGATAGGTTTCATTTCAATGTAGGTTACCTACGTGTAATTTTTAATACACTGCAGGCAAATACAATTACGCACACACTTAACAAAAACGAATAATACTTACGTTTACAAATACTTGTACGACCCATGCAACGTAATATTATTTACAGGTGTCCACCCTATTTACAACGAGAGAATACGAACGAAGGGAACCATTAAAAACAAAACTTACCGTTCTCAAAAATCAAATTATCGAAACGAAATAAAAATACAAAAAGCTGCAATGTGACATATCGATAGAGAAAAAGTGGAAGACGAAACGAAGTTGTTATATCAATGCAGGATCACGGAAAAGTATAGAGGAAGCCCATCAAGCGACAATAACATTCAACGAGACTTGTACTGTGTTTCATTGATATCTAGTATTTATTGTTAGAGATATTTGACTCCTTTTTCCTTTGCATATTTCATATCAACTGTCGTTACCAGCTAACGTTTGCGTTTCCTAGTTTTCTGCTAATGGGAAATATCGTCTAAATTCAGTGGTGTTGACTGGACCAGAAAAGGAAACATGCAAATCGCTTAGGGTGCCTTGACTGCTTTCTCCAGTTACAATAAGACATCCTCAACTTCCGGATTAAGGGTTATTTAACACCACCACATTTCCTCCAACTTATATATCTCATTATAGCACCCGAGTTTGTTTGACAGTACAAGTGATCGTTGGTGGGACTGCACCTTGGAGTTGACTGCAAGGAAAAGGCGCTCTCATGTTCCGACGTATCGTCGTCGTCCGGCGGTGGATGCGAGGCCGAGCTGGTCGCAGACAGCGACAGCGGCGCGCGGCGCGGCGGCGGCGACACGTCCAGTCCGCGCTCCATGCTGGGCGCCAGGATACGTATCTCCGGCACGCTTATCTCACTTAACTTACGGCTGGAAACACCCCACCACGTATGACCATACTATACCTTGCTATCTTCCCACTTCATAACTTATAGTTAAGTCGTTATACTCACTGGATGCCATTTATGTGTGATAAAATTAACTTAATACCTTTTGGTAAGCATATGAATGAAAAGTTTTAACGTGATTATGAATTTATAAGGCAATTTTTATAAAACCTCATTTTTGTTAAGAACTTTCTAATATCGAATAGCAACGGTACATCGTTAGTCAGTATCAGTATCATAGCAATACAAACCCCATCTCAACTGGACAGAGTAGATTTCTGTCAATCAATTCCATCTCGCGAGTACTAGGCAGCATGCAAACAAAACACTACTTACTAATTCACTCTAGGAGGCTACATGAATATGATAGATGCAGTCGGTTATAAAAAGATCCAAACTGGAAAATTACTTCCTAATATTTACAACGTTGCTCAAAATTAAAATATGAATTGGCAATATTTTTAAAAGGTTGGTTTTAATTTCTAAACAACGTTGTAAAGTTCTACAGATTATTCTGTAACTAAAATCAAACTAATCATGCAGAAAGCATGGGCATAATACTACTACCTTACTACTAATACGTCTACTTAACTCTATTTCTACCACCTTTCAATAAGAAATTCATTCACTAAAATATTGCTGTAAGCGCAATCATAAGTGTGCAGTTATCTATACCAACTACTATAGACAGAACTACTACTCACTGTTTTTCTAATGTTTCTGGTAATGGTTCCCATATCATCTGCGATCCTTCTCGGATTCCAATGCCGAAGCCCTCCTTTTCCTAAAAAAAGAAACGTTATTAAACTTTACTCTGCGAGAACCACAGCACCGATCGAGGTGGAGAGCCTTATTAGACGCCACGATCTTATTTAAAAAAACATTCAAATAATGAGTTAAGTATTCTATGTACCTTTAATATTTTCTTTTCAACAGAAAGAGTTTTCGATACATATCGATAGTCCCGTGAGTATTTCATCAAATGTCGTGTGATCGACACCAGGATGCTGGATATGAACGCCCACGCCGTGTCAACCACTTGTCGTAGCTTATCCACTAAGGTCTCTTCATTGTCTGAAATAGTTATAGAAATATGTTAGTGGGATTCATACATTCTATCAGTGGCCCTTTTTCATTTATTAGTCTAAATGAAATGAAAAAGTATCCACTTTTTGTGTAACAAGTGCATTTTACTAAAGGCCTTTAGCTATCATATTAAAAGTAAACAAACAAAGACTGTTCTTATAATAATTATTAAAATGTACCTGGCAGTGGTGCGAATTCGTCAATATCCGTGAGCGGCCGCTCCTGTTCAGTCAGATGTGAGTCACTGACTTGATGGACGGACGTCTTACGACCTGCGACCTGTATAACGCTATTATTGTATTACTTACATAAACATAACACCAACTTACACAGAAGAAAGCAAATGTAGAAAAATAATAAATGCAAAACCATGTTTGGAGTAATACGGAAATAAAATAAAATACTGAAATAATATTGAATATTTGTTCAAATACTTACAATTTTGATATAGTACAAAAAACCGCTGCCAACATATAGGTATAATAAACATAAAAATGCATGCAAAAGCCAAAACAAAAGTGCAAGCAATATTTAATTAATACACACCAAGATGCGCATTCACATTTTCTCCGTTCCGTTAACAGACTGATTAGTGCGTGTAATAAGTAATACACGTCTCAATCGCAACAAATTAAATGTAAATGCGCTTTAGAAGGGACAGTGGCACACGTGTCACGTACATGCGCAAGTAACAATCAACGGGTAACCTGCTGCTTGTTATGTTAGAGCGTGTATGTACTGCATTTTAACCAAATCTGTCAAGAATGAAAGCAGTTAGTTAGATTGAACTATAATTTTATTTGACTAGGTATAGCGATTTGAGTAAAACGCAGTCCGCATACGCTCTTAAGTCTTGCAAAATATACGTGACTCAATGGAGCTCAATATTTCTTCCACGTCCGATTGGCATTGAGCTCCCTACAAACGCAAACCAGGAATCTAAAATAAAATAAATGGAAATTATGGACGTGGGGTGTGCGTTGGGGGCCGTTACCTGCGGGTAGGAGAGCGGTTCGCTGCCGATGGAGACACGTCTGGTAGACCGAACGTTGGGGGCCGAGGCGCGCCGCAGCCCCACGGCGTGCTTCAAGTCCGTCTTGATCATCGTGGACAGGAGCTGCTCGGCCCACGCGACACAATAGTAAGCTCACACGCACTCGTATCCAGTACACGTTGCTTTAACTGACCTTATACTACCTTATACTTTCTACACATTTTTTGTGAACTCTATGTTCCCAGGCCTAAGTCCTGAGACTCATGGCTGGTTCTGTGATCGCAACAGTAACAACGTGTGCCGATTCGAGTAGCATGGCGGTGCAATGATTAATACCGGGCATTATGGTTAGTCACCTTAAAGCGGATTGGACGTAATAAACTGAAACTACATTCAATATAATATTCCCTACACTTCGACACTAAATCGGAGATCTAAACATTCTGCTTTATCTAAAAGAATCCAGGTAAGCGTACATGCGGGAACACCCAAGACGATCTATAGAAACAGTCACCAATATATACTTCTAATATGGATGCTTCATGCTTATTACCAAAACACAGTACACCATTTTAAAACATTGTCTTTATCAGTATCACCTATAATTTTCGCTTCAGTCTGGTGTTCCCATAATTTTGTGTTTATTAATGTGGCTAAAAATGCTAAGTAAATGTCCGAAAGGTTGAGTACAAGCACTTGTCTGTGCATTGTGATGCGTAAGCACGAATACTGATGACAATGTTCTCTTGGATATAGCATAACCCACAAATCACAACGGCGTATACCTCCACCCACAAGAATTTGTAATAATGGTAACAGATAGGACTTTGGAAAATATAGCCATATCGACTAATTTGTCGGAGGTTTCCACAACAATGTATCCTCACGGTTATCTATGAAGGAGGCACAATGCCCATAGTCTTATCTGTTACCTTCACCAAGTTCCCAAATTGGCATAAAAGAACTGACCTTGCCAATTCCCATTTCCCTAGGTGCGTCCTCGTCTGAGCTAGATTCCTCTTCATTCATATGGACGTCTGTATCGTCGAATTCATCGAACATGTAGTAGTCTCCCGAACGAATGGCTGTAAATACAAAAAATAAATGAGATACCCCGCAATAAGGTGAAAATAGGCGTAACCTTAAGCAAGAAAAGTTAATGAAATTCTTTTTATCAATTCCTTCTTCTTCAATCTTGACAGTACAAAATCGGAACGATGTAATAAAAACAGCAATTATATCAGGTTACGCCTATCAGAATAATTTGAAGTCAGTTTACAGTTTACAAGGATATATTCAGCACAAGCTTTTTAAGTGATTCTAGAAATTTCTATAAACATCATGCTTTAATAAGTAACGTAAGAGACGAAATAAATATAATATAGGTACTTTTAAAATAACAATCAATAAAATAAGTTTTACAAAACAGAGTGTTAGTTGCAGTCACGCCCAAAGCATGCACTATTGTGTTTAGTGTGCGTGAAGTTAGAAGTACAGGCAGTGTAGGTAACATAGCAGTACCATGCAGACATTCGACTATGGCACAAACAGCCGCACGGACATGTAAAGCCGACAACCGGCGCATTCTGTCTTAAGTCTGTTTATTTACAACATTCAACTGTAATACAAACTGTACACGTTCCATGAAACATAAAACAATAAGACAGTTCCCGCCATTACGATGCACTCAGCCTAAATACTGTAACCGACAAGCCGAGGAGGGGTTAGTAACGCATTATGATTCTATAGGGAGCCTTGTTCATGAACTTTACCCTTCTGATGGCTTGATGGCGGCCTATACGTTGTTCTGTCCCGCGCTACAAGAGAAAAGCATTACTCAACAGCAGCTCGCACACCAACCGAATTTATTAAAAGTGGTCTTAGTATTCACAAGTATTAACACCTTTTACTTTCGTGCCATCCAAAATCAGGAAAATATTAATGAAGCTACTTGTAATAGTTAAATATGGACATCACAGCTGGCAAGACATGATAAATATGGCCTGATGTGATTCTCCCTGAAGTGGGCCTGCTTAAAGACAATTGTTTGAAATTGTATAAGTTTTTTGCGTCTATTTTACTATAGTCAAATGGAATACGGAAAGTATAGATTTAGCATGTAAATAAAAGACTATATTGGAGTCAATTATTTACAAAAGAAATGTCATGTCTTTAGTTCTACTCTGAACGACCAGCGCACAGTGAAGGATAATTATAACAAACACCTCCAACACCTGAGAGAAGACCACGAATATTTACCTTCGTGTCTCTTCGAGAACACACGTTTACCTCGTTTCTCGGAACCTGACTCTATCCCTAAACGAAAGGGAAAAACACATATAGTACAAGTTTATAATAAATGATGCTATACATTATATACACGGTGTATGTTCAACCGGTCGTGAGCGAGCAATGTAAGTGCGGTGTCGTTACACGTGTGGTGCGAGTGTGGCTCGACGCGGCTGGCCTGCGACAGCACGGAGTGTCGCACGGGGCTGGCCACCGTGTGCCGCCGGCGGATGGGCGGCGGCGAGAACACGGGGTACGACTCCTCCGGGCTCGGCGCGCGCGCCAGCAGCTCCGACGACGGCGGCGACTCGAACGATATGCGCCGCGGCTCCAGGTACGCGTCCAGCGACACCGTCATCAGGGCAGACGAGGGGGACGGAGGCCCGCCTTGTGACACCGGGGCCGAGGGAGCGGGTAGGGCGGGCAGGGTGGAGGCAGGGTGGAGGGCGGGGGCGGGGCGGTGCGGACGGGAGTGGGCGGGGCGGAGGGTTCGCTGAGCGGGGTGTGGAAGCCGCGCGGTGAGGCGGGGCTGTCGGGTGTATGGTACCCGCGCGCCGAGGCTTCAGACTCGCCACGTACGAGGGCCACTTGCTCAGACTCGCCCGCCATAGTCTCTTCCTCCTCGTCTGATCCAATAGTGCAGCGCGAAGAAAATCGTCATAGAAAAATTAATCCTCACCCAATCTTTTTTGAGCCGTCACTTTTGTTCCTAGTTGTGTCACGTTCATTCTTTCATGTATAATATGCCTATGTAACTACAATATAATAGTAGACACATATGCTACGAATAACAATCAATCTTGTAAACATCGACCTTACTTTTATATACCTACTCAATATTACATCTAAGTAGTCAAAATTATAGATGGCAATTACATATTAACGGGGAGATACGTTCTCAATAAATACTACCTACAAGAGTAATAATATAAAACAAACCAATATCATGATGCGCGGGTTCCTTTGCTATTGCCCCTTGAATCTTTTTCTGATTTGCCTTAATCCTTTCCATTTTCACTTTGATTTTCTCCAAGATTTTCATTTCTTGGTCTTCTTGTATTTTCATTTGTTTTTGTCGGAGTTCCTCTATTAACTCTGCACCTCTGTTTGAATCAAAATTTGATTTCAGATGTAAAAAGTTGATTAAACACAATCGGATGCAATTTGCTAGTGGTATTACTTATAATACTTCAATCGTAACAAAATGCCTTACCTCGAAGCAAGTACTGTAGTAGCCTTGCTTTCGTCGATAACTCTGTAGAAATAATAGCTATGGAACAATCTCCTCTGTAAGATTAGGAAGGCGAAGCAAACACCATCCCATGCTAATCCTATATCTTCTTGAGGTACGGAACAGGCGGCCTCCTAGAGCAATATGAAAGAAAAATACATTAGCGTTATCACATATCTTAAAATAGCTAGCAAATGTAACTAAAAAGCCAATTTTTCAAGGATGTAAGATTGTAACTGCCCTTATAATTTTATAGCATAATGTTTTTAAACACATACTTAAAATGTAACACTTACATGTAGATAAGACAAAAGGGTTATTTATTAAACTCAGTAGGTACCAACTACAGTATACTATACGATTTGTAGTCTCAAACAATAACGGCTTATTGCTTTTTGCAAATCTGCACTTACCTTAACATACTGCATCTTAAGGAACCTGGCGATATTTCCCCCAGCGAATTTGTCCACACATCCGATACCCAGCAACTGGACCAGCCAGCAGGCGTGTTCCTGCATCACTGAGCTGAATATGCAGCCCGGGATCTGAAGCAATGTCTTCACCACTACCACTGACACGTTGTACCGAACTAACCATGACCACCTGTTTCACAACCAAAAAGATTATTAAGGTTACCTAGTGAAATTTTCTTTGTGTTTTGCTTTCATAAAAAACTGTCCTATAGTTAACTAGATAGAACTTCTCACTTGGAGCAGTAGGATTACATGGATATGTCGCTGCCAACTAGCTTAGTTCGCTATTCAACTAATGGCCTGAATGACCAGCCGATAGAATCAATGGCTGAATTTCTTATTTAGGCAGTTAATTAAATGTTCAACGGATTTTTATTAAAACCGAGTTGCTACTAGAATGGTAGGTTAGTATGGAACTACGACTGCATGGCTTACTTACCTAGTTCTTTACGACAAATACACAAGAAATGTCGAGAAACTACATAAACAATTGTCTTCACTCACCATTTCAAAATAGCATCTTTAGGACGCAAGTAGAAGTCCGTTCCTTGCCAGAGGAATATAAAGGAGCCGATGAGATACCCCATGGAGAACAGGTTCACTCGATTGGTGCCCGTCATGAACATGATGGCCAGCGTAACCCATAGCATACCCAAGAACACCATGCGTTTCACAACGTCCAACCATGTCCTGATACGGAAAATTAAATACTTAAAAAATATACGTTCATAAGAATTAAAAAACGATGAACGTAAAGTTGATGAGTTAATTAAAACATTTTGTTGAGTACATGCAAAAAATAAACAATCACGTTTTTAACCAATCTTCGGTACATGTGGCCTGTTTAAAGACTGTAGCGAGATATTGTGTTACAATTAGCGAGTTTAAGCAACTTTAAGAACAACACGAAATAATAATAGAATGCGAGACAATTACAAACTATTTTTACAAATTATTTTTCATGTAATAATTTGACGAGGAACTCGACTAGTGTCAAGCCATGCTAGATACTCATATTCATGAGCAGCATTTCGCGACCCGCGACGGGGCGACTGTCGCGCTGCTACTCGAGTCTGCGGGCCCAGCGCGTGCTTAGCATGACTTGAAACTAATCAAGTTCCTCGTTAAATTATTACGTGAGTAAGCCGAAAACATAATAAATTATTTTTCATTCTTATCTTACTCAATACGCTACAAAAATAAGTAAAAAAAAAACATACTAACCCAACATAACCAAGGAAATCTGGTACAGGGTTAACAAAATCGGGTGTTTCCCAATTTTTACCAATATTCTCTTCGTTTGAGCCCCCGGCGTAGTTCGAAGAGTTCTTTTCTATGCGGAATACCTTCAGCTGGCGAGTCGCGAACAGTAATAGGAAGAAATCAAAGATCAGCTTGTACGCGTGTGGAGGTTGTTCCGCATATGGCAGGAACAGCCATGTACGGACATGTTTCATTTGCTGAAAACAAAAAAAATATAATTAAAACCATGATTTTATTTGTAAACTCTCCTTACGTTTACTACTAACTAATGAGAAAACAAGGGTATAATAAGATGGGTTACTAAATATTTTATGATAAGGTAGCTATCAATGTTGTACAAAGTGCCTGCTAATAAACAAGATACCTATTATTGATTATTATGTAAACAACTAGTTCTTCACTCCCGAAATTATTAATTTTACTTCATAGGTACCTACTCCACACCTCGATATCAAAAAAGTTAACATGCTGTTAACAACTTAAGCTACTTTTTCTGGTTGACAAAGAGAACTTGACAATAATATGAACCTGATATTACCATAAATTAACTTAAAATCGCGGATTACTCAGGACAGAATATTGAGAATAGCTCTACTGGTATCGAACCAAAGAAAGGTTCTTCCTCATGAGCAGCGTGCGCGGTCGCCGCGACCGTAGTAGAGCTTTTCGCAGTATTTTCACGTGAGTAAATCCGCGATTTTTAGTTAATTTAGTAAATCTCACGATAATTATTATAAATAAGCAACCTACTGACAAAACTAATCGTACTGTAATATGAATCTAAATTACGCTAGATTACATTGCAGTATTATTAATTGCCACCAATATAGACCAAAATATACTGATTACCGTACATCAAAAACAAACGTCCTCACCAACTCGTTGTACAAATTAGTCAATTCCTAAGGACGAAAAAAATTAAACAGATGTAAATGAAAAACAAAGTTGTACCTCTATCTTAATTAAGGTACAATTAATTAAAGTGTATAATATTATTAAAAGGACAAAAGAATAGTGGCTTACTTATAGAACTTATGTAAGATAAAATATACTGTTTCCGCGTCAAGTCACGGTGCGCGCTGATTGTACCTTATATGGCTAGCATAGCGTTCATTTTCGCTTAACCTCAAAAAAGTTTTAGATGTTGTTACCTGATCGTCAGAATCCCACGGGTAACTAACACATAGCTCCGGTAGGAAGCCCACAGCAATCATATACTGTATGGGTACAAGGAACGTGATAGTGGCTGTGAACGTACTCCACAACCTACTCTGCGCGACTCGCTTTATTGACACCAGTACTAGCAACCACGCCGCGTACAATACTGCGTACACGTCCATACGAGACCCGATCACACCCATCAAACAGATCATGGTTATCTGTAACAAATTATGAAGATATTTTAACACATTGTTATGTGTTATGTTTAACATCACGCCTTTTATTCCAGAAGGAGTAGGCAGCGGTGCACATTACGACACTTAATGCCAGTGTACAATGTAACACCCACATTTCATTATTTATTTTATGAGTCCCATGTAATAGCGGGTAAGCGTATTACCATATACCGGGCACAATTCCAGACTCCGTGCTACTACTGAGATTTTTTTTTTAAACCCAGTAATACTTTGCCCGACCCTGGAATCGAGACCCCTTGCCCGACAGTCGCACTTGCAACCACTCGGCCAACGAGGCAGTCAAGATATTTTAATTAGCATTATGCAGGTAGTACATTATTATAGAATATATCTGCATAGTGGATGGTATTAGCACATGCTTACCTCCACACCAAACTTATAGAATCCAAAGTTAATCAAGTATTTGATGCAGTGGATCAGGTCTATGTCTGCCTCCTTGCGAGTTATCTCAGGGAATATTGTTTTTATTCTCTCTTTCGGTAAAGCGCCAGATTCTCTGTTAAAAGAAATAAAAAAAAATGTAACTACAAAAATATAATAAAAACAAGTAAGTACTAAGTAATTTGAATGTTTTAAACCTCAGCGCTTTTTGTCTATATGTCACTAGGGCATAGAATATGAATACGGCTAAAAGTCCGATGTATCCTTTTAGAACGACCACTAAGGGCTTTTCATTTGTAGCTTTTGTAAACCCAAGCCATTCAGCGTTGTTATATGCCGATGACGACGAATTCGAAAACTTGATATCGAAAAGCTGAAAACGAAAAATATATATATATTTTCATGTTTCACGAACGATGGTTACGTAAGTACATACATATTTATTCAAACACTTACGCCGGCAATAGAGCAGTTGACATCAAAACTATGATGCTTGATGTAACCGATCTGGTAGACCATCTTAGCCATGAAATATATACTGATTAGTGTCGATATAAAGAGCACGCAGACTCGTTGTTTCGACGCGTTGACCCACAATGCCGGTGCGATTATCAACATTATAGGCACATGCATGGCACACACCTGTAATGATGGAAACAATATTTAGCACAAAACCTTAGCTACATCAAAAACTTCTAAACATTGTTGACAAGTTGAATTATATAGTTTCATTGTGAACGCAAACAATGTGAATAGCCTTTTGATCATTTAAGCAAATTTTAAAGTACAATCCCAGTTTTAATTAAAGACCAAATATGAAGTAAACATATGGGGATTTTATGGATCACCTACATTCATAACACAAAGCAGCATCAGGGATATGAAGACGATCTTGATGAGATGTAGGTCCAAGTACATGAAGATCCGGTCAATGATCTCCTGTGCGGTGTGCTTGGATGCGTTGTATGTGCGCTTCACCAACGACCACAGTGCAGTGGACGGTCGCTCTGTTACCGGAGACCGCACGTTCGAACGGGACATCGAAAATTGTCTACTATAATAAAAATAGGTACTGTTAATAAATTGAACATTAAATGAAAAAAAATAAACAAAATTAAATACTCTGCAGATAGCGCTAATGGAGAATAAGGTCCAGTTCGTCTATAGTCAGAATTTTAATTAGATTCCAGATTTGACAATAGCTACTGTCATTTTGTGAAATAATGATACCACATATAATAGTGTAGTGATGGACACAAAAATCGATAAACAATCCGTGTGTGTGTTTTATAATAAATGTTACAGAAAGTGACAGGATAGCGATAGCGATGACGGTGACAATTTATAAAATAACTTATTACCATAATACATCTATCTGTTTTATTTGTCATGTTCCTTCATGATCACAAATTTTTATTTATTTCACACACAATTATAAAAGAAAAGTCTCAGATCGTTAAGTAATCGTCAAAACTAAATTATCGGTCAGAAATATTTAATTTCCTGATATCCTTAGTTTACGAAAGTAAAATTATAAACGAGAAGAATCGATCCAGAAATATTGCATTTCCATATCGAATAATTTCGCAACGTCACTATTTAGTACTTGTCATAACGTTGCAACACTGAAATTGTCAAATCTGGAATCGAATTAAAATTCCGAGTATAATCACTGCAGATGTCAAGACTTTTACGTTAATTAGCTTATTGAGCTTATCGAATAGTGTAATGGACAAGAAACCTTAATTTTTGCTAACACTTCTGTCACTAAATTCAGGCGCAATAGCCAATACAGAATTGATTAATTACTTTAACGTTAAAAATCTAAGTAATACTAGAGCGTAAATGCTTTGGAAAATCAACATTTTTACTATTGCTACTACGACTAGAGACTTGAACCTGTTGAATAAAGAAATAATCTTAAAACTAAACCAACCTTTGCACTAACTTCTGTGGGCCAGTTAGTGAAGATACTTCCACTGATTGATCTGCCTCTGTCGCAGTCGAACGAGGATTTGTATCTTCAGAAGGTAGTGGTGGCAACTACAACGTGACAAAGGATATAATTGTAAATGGGCTTACCAGTTAGACACATTTTCATTGTGTTTTGAAGCAATTACAAGTTTATTTTCAATTAATTTAGTATGTTTCACGGTATTTATTTTAAGGCAATCTTTATAAGCCTATTGTTTCCTTTCCTATGACTTACATCATCTCTCATCGTAGAGGCACCATCTTGACTTGGTTTACCAGACTCTGGATTGTTGGGTGCTATACTATTTGTTCTGTAAAGATATGAAAGGACACTTTCTATTATAAATGATCAATTAGATATATTTAATTTTATGTCAGATACACTCACCTCGTCTTAGGATCTGATAATGCCATAAAATCTTTATGGAAATAATGAACCTGCAATATTGTTATGATGAGGAACAACGTCGGTGTTAATAGTTTGACAAACAAATCCGCCGGATGGTACGGTTCTAATCCCAAATCTTGTTGTCTGAAAAGAAATATCACGATTAAATACACATTTGAACTTTATTTCTTTGGTATTATAATGTAAAGTAATGTGTCATCTTTCAGACATTTTTACTTACAAACTTTCGTTGATAAACATATATTGTTCAATCAATTTTGAAAAGTTGTCGAATTGGTAAATGTAGATCAGAATAAGATTTATCATTGAGTAGATGATGACCACTATCCAAAACATGTACAATGTTTTTCGCCACCAGTACCAACTTATCTGAAATCAAAATATTCATATCACTCGCAAATTTCCACAAAAACTGAAAAACTGTTGATATTATAACTTTTCTCTTGTTTTAAATAGTTTGTTTCTATAGCACCGAGGTTTAAATAAAAAAAATATCTACCAAAATTATTTAACAACTTCATCACTAACTTTAATATTTAGGTTTTAAAGAGCTAAGTAACTTTCTTACGAAAGTATGCTTATATTACCTGGAACATGAGTATAAAAGCGAGGAAGAGGAACATGTAAATGATGCGGAATATGGTCATGCGCTCGCCGGTGATGCCAATGACGAACAGCATGATGACCACGACGTATATCCAGTAGCGTGCGCACAACGCCCGCATCACCTCGCCGAGGGCGCGCAGCAGACGAGAACGACTCTCCTCCTCACGTCTCGCGTCCATTACTATACAGACACAAGTATATTGACAAAGCTTTACTCCTTAGTTACAGTAGTAGAATAATTTATTCTTCGCAACGACCTTCATTATGTAGAGCCAACAAATATTGCCGCTTGAAATCGCGAGTCGCGTCGGCTCGATTGATAAGAAAGTTTAAGAAAGTATTATGCTAGAACTAGAAAAGGTGCTGTTTCCTTAACTAAATGAGTTTTATAGCAATTGTTAAGAAAAAAATATTTAAATGATCTGTACCTAACAGTCTCGAAATTTATCTTCAATTCAAAACGACTAAACAGGTCTTACAGCAGATGGTAAACAAATAGCTATATGACAAAGAAAAATGAGAACAATTTATACGTACTTGGTAAGTAGGACCTGTCGAGTCTTTATTGTGTATAAATATTCACAAAGTTCAGGGGTGAATTGATTTCAAGTTATAATAGTGCTGATGTTAGTCCCTTTTCTAAGGCAAGATTATTAAGATTTTGACAAATAAGAAATATAGTAGTCCTAAGCTAATATAGTGTAAAATAACCTGGTGTACTTTTAAATAGAAATGGGTGGTCAGAGTTCAGAGTGTTAAGCAGTTAAGAGTTTTGGCTGAAAACAATAATAAGACAAGACTTAAATGAAGATATTTCTTAAAGAGAAGCAGAAGATAGAAGTTATCACAAGTATTATTATATTACCGTGTACAAGACCTGTCCCAGGATAGAGATAAAAAAGAAAACAAGTTGAAATAATTTCCAGAATATTTCAAAGGTCTTTATGAAAGTCTATTGCTTTTTGTCTTGGCATAATTATTTAAGAGAACCTAAAGAACATGGCAATACAGTCGAAAATTCAATCAGACTTACCACTAGCTGCAGTGGAAGCAGTGAGTTGGAGAGGAGCCGCCATATCTGCGATGACAGAGGACTGTCGCCTTTGTCTTATGTCCTGGATGCGTTGGCGTAGTGTCACCCAAAACATGCATGTGAATAAGGACTTAATCAAAAGGGGAAAGAATGGTTCCCCTTCAACACGACCTAAACCTATCTGATGGAGATTCACTTCCTGAAAAAAGAAGAAAATATAAGGTACAGTCTATACCGTATAGAAGATCCAAATACGATTTCGTTGATAAACTAATGGCAACAGTTGGTGTTTATTGAAAGCATGTTCCGTTGTTTACACGCGAAATGTCATGTTTAAAATGAGAGGTATTTGAGCGGGGGTTTCGTACAACATTTCTTCCGATGTTTGATAAACATCAGTTAGTGAATACTTTTAAAACTATTTTATTATTATTTATGAGACGTTATATTTTGTAAATAAGATAGTAGACTCACCGTGATATTACTAGGTAATTCTGTCTCGTAAAGGTTCATGCCGTATATGTATTGCGCTATAAGCAGTAACATCGCATAGCAGACGAGTATGGGGCTGGTCTTCAGCATGAAAGCACGCTGGTCGTGACAGAGCCACACGATGTTCGCCCACATGAGGAAGACGAAAGTCAGCCATGAATGGAACATTATACTCCACGCCATCATCGTGATCGTCGTAGCTATGTACGAGGACCTGCAAGAATAATTGTAACGAAATCACAAAATGTTTGAAATGCCAATTAAGACGAACCATTTTTACATGTTTTGCGCAATTAATGCGCAGAATTTGCGCAAAACAGGTTTTTTGCGCAAAATTCCTTTTGAGTGTGTACGAAGAATAATTTAGCGAGATACAAGCTTGTTAGCACTAACCTGACTAGAACTTGGAAGAAATCAACGATTGCCGTTAAAATGTCATCCATCAAAGTAGGCTCACTTTCTTCTATTACAGATTCTGCAACAATAAAAAAAAATTAAAGTAGAGATTGGTATCTTCTTATTTTAATTCCTATGCAACTGAAAATTAATAAATGACAGACTAAGGTGGTTACTTACCATCTTCATGTAGAACAACGGAACCTGTGGAGTCTTGCCGCATTTGTCTCGTTGCGGATCCGGTCGGCGTAACTGTCCATCGTTTCGAAGAATTCACACGAATAAGCTAAACATTAATTAAAAAATTAAACACAACAAACGATTAATATATTGGTTATTTATTATTTCTCAAAAATCGAGAATTTACGAAGATTTTTTTATAAATAGAATTTATAAAAATATTTTTTTAAATAGTCATCATAATTAAAATAGTTTTGGAGGCTATTTATAGTTCTTTAAAATCTATTTTTTTTTTTGAAAAATTTCGGCGATGATGTAATATTGTAAAACATATTTTATAATAGTGCTTGCACAAACAACAATCAACCATGCGACACAACATCAACATGATAATAATATAATACATTTATGTATCTACAAACTTATTAAACGAAACGTTAGTGCTTTGTGTAAAACATATAATATGTTAGATCGATGAACGTCAATATAAATAGATAGATATAATAGACCAAGCATTAAAGATCTCTTTTATATTGAGAGATTTATTTAAGCTTTCATTATTCCGGTCATAGTTAGGATTTTAATACGGGTGAATATTCAGCCAAGGAATACAAATCTTGTATAGGATGTTCGAAATATTAGAGCACCTACTTATTTGTAAAGTTTTTGTCTCCGCAGTACAGGAAAAATTCAGTAATAAATGACATTGACCCGACAAAATAAAGCACTAGACAAAAGTGGATAATTATCAGAAAATCTGTACAACAAAGCATTGTATTTCTCGGCTCGAATACTCACAAGGTTTCCCACAAACACAAAACATAGATAAAAACAAAAGAAGATACCTACAGGGTCGGTCTCACGGGCTTCACTGCGTTGTATTTTGGTATTTACGTATGAAAGTGCACCCTATAAAAGAACGAAAGCTGGTTGCAAATACAAACAAAAAAAAGTAAGTTAAACAAAGAAAATTAAAAAGGTCAAAATAAACCAAAATCAACTCCAGTTCTGTGTACAGCAGAAGCACCCATGCTTTGTCGGTGGTAGTTGAGTCCCAACAATTTTGAATTGTTATTAATTAGTTACAAATTATGTACAAGAAAGTGCCATGCAAGTAGTCTATGTACAAAATAATTGATGAACCAAGTAGTAACCAGGGATTTTAGTGCTGCACTAACTACGTTTGAAAAATAATTCACAAGATCACATAATAACTTCTGAGTGCCTTTTTGATGCAGATGCTGCTAATAACTACATGCTGAAATATTGAAAATGAATATAGGAAAATGCAAATCTTCATTCATAATCTATGAAAGGAGTACTACATGTTGTAAATACAAATGGATGTGTGCATTAACGACACTGTGATGTATTCGCGGGAAGCTTACTCGAACTCTTTTAGTGGCATTCTTCCATTTATCCCGAGCGGCGCGTCGACTGCCGCGGTGGAAGGATATGCCGCGCACCAACGAACCGTTCAGCTTACCCTCTTCCAAGCCGGATAGGGCGCTCTTTTTTTTCGCCTAAGTTCCCAGTTAGATAGCATAAGAATCAGGTTCTAATAACTTTAATAATACAACTCTAAGATATTTCAAAAATATTATAAGTCAAACCAAACACAACCGCTACCTTTCATTTCAGACCATACTGATTACTTAGATATTTATAGTAATATCCTTGATCCCTCTGTTACTACATATTTACAAATAGTGTAAATTCGCAGTTGTAAAGTAATACAGGCCCAATATCTTAGCGTATAAAAACATTAGTATTACAAAGTACCAATCTCATATTATTTAAGAAGCGTAATAGCTGATATTATTTGTGTTATTCAGTATTATAATAATATTTATTGTTTGTTAACTCACAATGCAATGCTACTAAGTGTAAATTAGTATGCATACATACCTTCGGTTTGAACAGTTGTCGAGTTTCGATTGCGAGAACGAAATAAGTGAATAGTATGACAAAAGGGCTCGCTAGTGATGCCCACATGTGGTCGTCCGATACTTCGTAAGTAAAGAGTTTTGGATTCGTACTGTTGATTAGTACTAGTCTCGTTAAGCCAAAATACCTGTAAATTAATATAACTTACGCATAAAAATCTGCATTTATTAAACCTGACTAAACTATCTAAATATTTAGACTGCCTCGTTGGTCGAGTGGTCGCAAGTGCGACTGCCGGGCAAAGGGTCTCGGGTTCAATTCCCGGGTCAAGCAAAGTATTACTGGGTTTTAAAGACAACTCAGTAGTAGCACGGAGACTGGAATTGTGCCCGGTATAATTATGGCAATAGGCTCACCCCTTTTACATGGGACTCATAACTTAAATAGTAAAAAGTGGGTGTTTACGTTGTACAATTGCATAAAGTGCCGTAATGTGCACCTTTGCCCACCCCTTCGGGGATAAAAGGCGTGATGTTATGTGTTGTAAATATCTAAATTGTATAATAATATTAACATACTCTAAGCCTTGGGGCTTAGAGCTTGGGGCCTAGGCTAATGTGGAAATCCTTATTGTATGTGTGTATTTCCAAAAATCTTAGTGTTAATACTCTTACCTAGCAAATTCCTTTTCTGGTGGATATAGTTCTGCAACCCAAGAGCATTGGTATACTAATAGCACGATGACGTGGACGGACATGATGGCCATGACACAGCGACAGACGACTGCAAACCCTCGGTTGAGTGGTTGGCCCAGGGCCCACGCAGTGGCCGACCCCATAAACACGAGGAAGTAGATCCCAGACGTGATGCTTGGCCGCATGATGGCGGAAAACATTATTAAGATCAGGCAGATATATTTCCCTGAAAAAACCAAAACAAAATAGACCAGTTAGTAGCAAAATTTAGTTTTACATTACTGAACATTTTTGGGTGAAATAATAGTGTGTGGACTAAACGCCTGAAACACAGGTTGTTTTGTTTAATACAGATAGTGTAACGGTAATTATTTCTGAGAAACTTATCCATTTTAATTTACCAAAGGGATTATTACACGGATAATTATTAGCAAAATATTAAAATATTCTATCCCCTTTCGAATTATCTATATATATACTATTATGTTTATCTTATAATCTTGAAGTTTACCTGCACTTGTTACAAGTGGATACTGTTGATGTTTGCTGTCAGATTTAGATGGTATTGCCGCGGTAGGACCCGTCACCAACCTTTTGACTAGCACATATACGAATAGAGATATCGCCGACATCAAAATCTGAAATTATTTTAAAGAACTTTAATATTATTTAATCAAATGTCACATACTACATAGGTCCAATAACAAACATCAATTACATAGGTCATTATAGCCTATAATCGCCTATGTAATTCAAGTTTAGCTATAATTTATAGGTATTTCTTTCTTTCTTTACTACTAGCACTATCTTTGGCGTTAACAAATTAACAATGAATAATAAATTAATCAAAAGATACAATATAATTACCTCGGGTAGCATGTAATTTATGGCCATAAATGGATCTATTGAGGAGTAAGACACGAAGCCCAGATTGTGGCCCACAATATCGAGTATAGGATAGGCTTGCAGGACGGACCCATAAGGACCCGTCACTGCAAGCAGTGTGTGCCACGCTATGTGCAAGGACATCAACAGAAACGATAACACTACGTTTAGTAACAAATATGTGCCGCGCCATGCTGGAACAAACGATATAATTGTTAAGCTTAACTTAGCCAGGTATATATTTTCGTAGGACACACAAGGTCAACTTTCGTAATAAGTTACCTAACTTGAGCCTAGGATATGAATTAGTGGGAGACTACGTGTTTATATCTCGGTATCTTACCTGTTTAGATAAATCTGACTGACAAATGAAACTTGCTCTGCAGTCTTTACGGGTGGTAGGTTAATAAACATCTGCAACTGTATTATTCTTACTCCTATTTATTTATACTATAAGTTTTTTCAAATTTTGTTAAATTTCTTCAAATACTAGTTAACTAGGTAAGTTTACACAGGCTTCAGTCATAGATTGTTCTGCGATATATTTATCCGAATGGAATACATCGGTGCTAAGATAAAGTAATTTGTATTTTATTGCTTTTGCTTGAACGCAGGAAAAACTACGCAACCTTTGTGTATCGTGCGAAGGCAGGAAAACAATAGTAACAACTTAACTTAGGTAAAATTTTCATACAATTATTTATTTTATAATTTCTCACCTTTGAATGTTCGACTGTCCGGAACAAATGTGAGCGGTGCTAATAAAAACAGCAGTAGATATACTAATGAAATGCCAAACGGTCGTAATGCTATACCTGAAAAAAAAATGCAAATATTTTAATAAGTAATATGGTTTGCTCGCCTAACTCTTCGGAGAGGTTACTCGACTACTTTCAAGCTCATATAAGGGCCCACAATCATGAGCAATTTTCAAGTCGATGTTAACAACGCGCGTATTAACAAAGTAATTGACTATAGAAAAAAAACATACTTATAATAAAAATAGCACCTACAAAGAAGGGTAAACATAATAAACAATGCTGATAGCTATTAGTCATAACAATCATGTTACCTCACTAATTATTATAGAATAGGTAACATTTCATAGTGTGGATTTAACAACGCAGTGTTAAAATAAAATGAAACGCAAAAACTCTCGTAACAAAACCGCCCTTTACAACTAAATTGAATGAAACCAAAAAAAGAAAACTGCTGAAACACGAAAGGAAAGTCAATAAGGGGAAAGTCGCAGACACGATAAATCACAGGCACAAGGCGCCGCCGGCCGGCAATAGGACGTCCAGAATTGTTTTAGCCTCCTTTACGTAACTTATAAGTAGCTGTATAGACGTCTAGCTTTTAAATGTTTATTCTGAACATACCAGATTAACCGGATTTTTATTCACTTGCTCAAAGTAATTCTGGTATGGTGATAAACGTTTTCCATGCTCGGCTGCTTTTATTTATGTTCAGAGATTCTGGTTTAAATTATTTAGACGTTAAAGAGCTTGTAGTTGAAGTAAGAATTCTTTAAAATTTGTATGTACTCCTAAACTTTTCATAATAATTTTGATTCAATGCCAATATCTCAGCAATTACTTTTTTCATTTATGTGCATTTTCTTAAAAACAATAAAATAAACTGATAGAGAGGTACCTACTAACTATTATGAAAATCTTTTATCACACAGTATCAAGGTAAATCACTTCTTAAATTCTAAAACTTCGAACGAAGCTATAAATAAACGAGTCGGCTATCGAGTTAGTAAATAACAATGACATTGAACTAGCTTGGAGTTCGTAGCACTAACAGATGTTTATTCGAAAACTATTGCATCTTGCACTGCTTGGGAAATATTTAGAAATATCTGCATCTCCAGTCTATGTCTAATAATAATTATTTGTTTAACAACATAGCATTCTAGAAACGCCTGGAATTTATTTGTTTAAACTTACGGATATGTGCTTCCCTGTATTTAGAATATTTAATGTTACATTAATTTATTTTGAACCTTGGGCAGTAGGCATAGAGTATTTAACATAACATAACATTATTAATGAGATAGACTAAGTTTATTAGACCATTTGGTTTACAAACATAAGAGCAATGAAAAGCTATAACGATGGAAGAGCACACTATATTGTCGGGCACCGTTCGTTATGGCGGCCCCAAATGCCACAGTAACATTTAGAATTTGTTCCACTTCGTTTTATACCCTGCCCTATTTCTTCTCACATCCTACCGCTGACATACAGTGGTTTGTTATTTTCTTTCTATCAAAACAGGAGATGCCAAAACTATTTTACATAAGATAAACAAATAATCAATGTATGTTACAAACTTCCAATAAAAATGAATGAAATCAGTTATCGGGTGAATGTTGAATGCAGATAAATCAAATCAACACCATCAAATATAAATATGGAAGTCGATTTATAGTAGCACGTAGGTGTCAATTGATATCAAGTACATATTTCAGATATCATTGACATTAAAGTTAATAGCCACTTGTGATGTTAATTTAAATAAAAAAAAACCTGTCAAGTGTGATTCGCGCTGGGAGGGTTCCGTAACACTATTTATTCTATTTCGTATATGTATAATATTCTTTTTTGTGTGATTATTATTGTTATGTTCTTTTTATTTATTTGTTATTATACCCGTTAACAGAAACAGGCAAATGTCTCAGTTAAGTGAGTAGTGTGAGTACCTACAATACATCTAAATTGGTGGATGAATACCATTAGGAACCAATGAGGAAAAAAATAAACAGTCACACAACTATAAACACCTAAGTTTGAAATTTGATTTAACTATAGGAGCTAACATTTGTAGGACCGGGGAAAAATGACTCAACAGATTCATATTTTTATGAGACATTCACTATTTCCGCTAGTCATTTTTCTGTAATTGAAATACATGATAGCCATTTATGCTAACTGCATACTAGATATTGCTTCATTGTAAGAAAGAAAATAGCATATCGACGCCAATAAATGGTGTCATTATATAGACCTATGTTATCGGGTAATTTCTAAGGAGTTTATATAAGAGAGTATTTACTGGAGCCAGTACCGACTTTACCATAAAGGCACTCGGGTCCCATGCCCAGGGGACTCCGAAGGACCGACTATTTCTACGACGGACACATACCCCCCTAGACGTTGCACGGCAACCGGCTGCCCCACATTATTCGTGATGAAAATCTTAGTATGATTCACAAATTGTTGTTTCCGGTCTGTATGTGATGTGTATGTGAACTTGTATGCTTGTAAATGCATCCACGATACAGAAGGAAATCCTAGTGTTGGGCAACGTTTAAAGAAAGGAAACATTCGTCAAAGGGCCTCGAATTATTGTGAGACCATGGGTACCAGCGTAGTCAAGGCAGCCTGACTGTAGTTACGATATACCAATAAATACTGTGTGGGTACTCAGTAAATAAGATTAAGATCTTAACAAAAAAAAAAAACAAGAAAACCACAGTTTACCAAGCCCAAATACAGTTGTAGAATACCGAAAAAGTGCACTATGCAGTAAGAGATAAAATTCCATTCAGTAAATACAGAAACAATTATAATTTTGAGAAAGTTCGTGCGACCTCTCAGATTTGGGGACATTTTTGGGACTATTCAATAATTTCACAATGACGACGGAAGTAATAAAAAATAATAGCTTGTTACTTATGCCAAAAGAGATGTTATATGGATACGAACTGAATAACTAAAGAGCTTAGAGCTTGAATTTGGATAGGCAAGTTAGTCTAACTAGTCACAAGGGCCTACTTTCCTAGAATTCCGACTTTGCCATGATTTCATCATAATAATACATCCCTTACTACTTATTATAAATTAGTAGGTAAATAGTGTAAGTAGATAATTACTAAACAAGTATTAGTCGGCCAACCATAATATGCATAATTTACTTTTATTTAAATTAATTTTTTATGCGACATCACAAATTATGTAAGAAAACATGTTTTATCTACATATATTTATAGATTAATACGATTATATTAATAAAATGAAGTTTGAGTATTTTATAGACAGGGATTGCTACTTACGTTCACGTTTTAATATAATAAAAATATTAAAATATATTTTATCCAGAAAATATGAGGCACGTCCAATTGAATTGAGAAAAGATGTAGATACCTACTTAGGTTCCAAACTTGAAACCACAATCACTTTGCTAGTGAGGTGAAATTATTTACCATTATATTTTATTATGATGGTATCATACAGATTCTGAGTGACTAGTAGTATAATAGAAAAAAAACTATGTATAGAACCTGAAGTAAATATGTAAGTACCTACTTTTAAAGTATTCGTTCAACACACTAAAACTTGTTAAAGTAATAATAGCACCATGCACTCGTTTTATTATATTTTAACAGTTGTATTACAGTTGCATTTTTACAGTACAGTTACGATACATAATCGTAACATCTACATAAAAAAGCTATTTGAGTTTAACATGGTTATCGTTATTATTACATTATCTACGATTTTAAAAGTAAATAATATTACTATTTTTATTACACCTGAAATACCTAAACCTATTACTTAATGGTCTATCATATTTTTTTTGCCCGTAAAAGATACTGTAATGTAAATATTGCAGTTCTTAATATTTATCTTATCGAAATCGATACGCCAACTGAAAGATTATGAAGTCGAGTGCAACATTTGCGAATTCCATATTATGATTGAGAACTGAACTGTGTCAATTTTATTTACTAAATACCATTTGTGATTCATGAGTGACTGTGTTAATTTTAGTACTTGAATATTACACTGCGGGAAAATTATATTTATGCACTATATCATAAATATTAATAATTATATTATTATGAGTATACTGTGAGGATTATTAGCCGAATTAACCATTAGAGGTATCAGCCTATTTTGATTCAAAGTAAAAGTCAAAGTCAAAATCATTTATTTCATAATCAGGAATGCATCATAAACCAGGAAGGCACTTTTGAACGTCAATAATAACAATATAAAATTGAAGCTATTTGCTCATTCCAAGGTGTAGATTCCTATGGAGAAGAACGAGCAAGAAACTCCATAGGTTACTCTTTTCCAATCAGGTCCACAATACAATTCTCCAGTTACAGTTTTATTGGTTCGATTGTGCGAGAAGAATGTAACACCAAAATCCAGTCAAAGAGATCGAAAAAGAAAATAACCTTAAAGACAATAAATAATGCAGTCTGGATCAATACATAGTATAAAACAAAGTCGTTTTCGCTGTATGTCCGTATGTATGCTTAGATCTTTAAAACTACGCAACGGATTTCGATGCGGTTTTTTTTAATAGATAGAGTAATTCTTAAGGAAGGTTGGTATGTATATACATATTGCACCCGTGCAAAGCCGGGGCGGGTCGCTAGTTCTAATAATAAAAAAATAAACAATCCAATCAACAAATCAACATGCCATCAGCAAAAATGATTATGTACGGGATGCCGAACTACTTCGTACAGATAAGGCACTAAAAATCTGACTCACACAGATTCTAAACCTTTGCATGTGCGCCACGACAAGAATTCATTCTGATTCATTCATTAGCATCATATAACCAAAACTAAAGACTGACATTTTTCTCGTAAATGGGACTTACGCATAGGCATCTAATAAATGGTTCTAAACTTGACTTTTTTGAGGGCGATTAATCTATTAATTGGACTTTACAAGAGAAGTATGTGAGGAGTAAAATTAAAACATCGAGTGAAACATACAATACCTACATTTATTAGAGAGAGGTGTGGATTGAAAGATGATGTAGTGGTTAATACTGTAGGATCCTT